TATGAAACTATGAAACTATGAAACTATGGCTCATCCTCACTGAAGTGCTAAGTGCTAAAAATATCACATCTGTCTCTTCATGTTTATACACATTCCTTGTCTTTATAACATGCATCGAGCCAAATCATCTTGGACAAGATAACTGTGGAACGGTAAGTATGAGAACTAATTGGCTTCTGTCTCTAACTGCACCATATACCCAGGCACTCTTTTCAGCGTGGTCTTGGTTTGTCTCCTTGCGGTAGGAAAACAGTGCTCTACCAGCCTTGGTCCTGCTGTTGCAAATGAAGGCTGTTGCCTTGGACATCCCTGCTAGAATATCTGAATTGGGAATTTTCTTCTTCTTTTCTACCAATCACATCTGGCACCACATCACAAGAAAATGCCTGCCTTGCTGCTTAGGGAAGGTCTACACAAGACAGTGCAGCACTGCATGGATACTGAACTGAAGCCATTCAGGCTTAATCCAAGTATTCCTGCAAAGTACAGCATTGTGCTGCATAGACATAACCTTAAACTCTAGTTAGAGTAGTTTTTTCTATGGAAGGCGGTCAGACTGGCTTAGCCCTCCCTCCCACTCCCCCTCAACTCAAAATGATGGTAACTTACCTTAGGAGTCACCTTTTATTTAAGTCTTTGGAGAAAAGGAGCGATGCTGCATTTTGAAAAAAATCTCTCTTTAGTTATATTCAAACATGGATTTATTTAATATTATAGTTAAATAGTTATTTATAATATTTATAATAGTATTATACTTGTGTATAGTTAATATTTAATGCTTAATATTATATTTAGAGACAGATAGATAGATGTGTGTGTAGAGATGTATATAGATCTGTAGATCGATATCAGTCTGTCAAAGACAGAATACTGGGCTAAACAGACCATTGCTCTGATCCAGCATGGTGCTTTTTATGGTTCTAAACCAAAGCTAAGCCCCAAGCAGATATTTGATTTGCTTGCACTACAGGCCAGACCTGCAAGTAGAGTATTAACAGACACCCAAACATATTATTAATAGTCGTGTTATACAGAGTTTCAGGTTTAACACATAATCACACATTTACAGAGGTATGCCTTTGCCTAAAGAAGAAAAAAGTGGACCACATACATTCTTAATTAGAAGCACTGAACATGTACAGTCTGCTGGTGGGTGAACAGGAGAGAGAAAGGCATTAACGTATATATAAATACTTATACTCTACATATGTATAGACATCTATATGTACAGTGCCATAGCAATGAAGTTTGGCTCCTGGGGCAAAGCCTGCAGCGGTAGCCTGCCCTCACCCCCTGCACAGATCTGTGGGGCATATGCCCCACCCCATGCTTACTCAGGAGTACATGCAGTGGCAGGAGCCACCCATCCCCATGCCCCCACAAATGAGCCACTCACTGCTCCAGGCAGGGCCTGTTGGTGCCCCTTTGCTTTGGTGCCCAGGGCAGTCTCCCCACTTGCTTCCCCCCCTAGGTTTTAAGCATGTCTCCTAATTTCAGTGGTACTCCCTAGTTCTAGTATTCTGGGACTGGTAATATTGTAGTTGTTCTAGTCTCTTCTGCTGTCTGCCACTGCCACTCTAATTTCCTCTGTTCTGGAGAAATGAAGAGAGAACCCATGCCCTTCATCCCCCTCTTTTATATAGTAGACTGGGGATGTTTGGGAAAAAGGCAGTGAGACTGTGCAGTTGTTCTTAACGGATTAAATTTGTCTACGTGTACTGGTTCTTCTTGTAGCTTTTGCAGAGTGGAGTTGTTGGAAGACAGGTATATCAAGCCAACAGTATGCTGCATTGCATTAACAGGAGTGTTGCTTGCAAATCAAGGGAAGTGATCCCTGGTGAGCCCTTACCTGGAGTACTGTGTCCAGTTTTGTATTGCAGACTTCAAGGAGGATGTGGACATTTTGGAAAGAGTACAGCAGAGGGTGACAAAATGATCAGGAGCCTGGGAGACAGGACTTGTGAGGAAAGGCTGAAAGAACTAGTGTTATTTAGCATGGAGAAGAGAAGACTGAGGGCGGATTTGAGAACAGTTTTCAATACCTGAAGGGTGATTATTACGGAGAGGGTGGAGATGGGATTTTCTCTGTGGCTAGAGGCTACAGGACTGGGAGCAGTGGCCTCAAGTTGCAGCAGGGAAAATTTAGACTGGAGATTAGAAGGAACTTTTTGACTGAGAGAGGTCAAGCATTGGAACAGGTACCTAGACAAATTGTGGAATCACCATGCTTGAAAACTTTCAAGAGCAGGTTGGCAGGGAGAGTTTAGTCAAGGATAATCTTCCCTTATGAGGTCCCTTCCAGCCCTACTTTCCTGTGATCATATGATAAGCATGACTGCTAGTAAGTAACTCCTCCTTCTCTCTGCCTTGTTTTTAACATCCCCTGCCAGTTTTTTGTTTTTTTTTTGGTCTGTATTCACATGCATATTTTAGCAAAAGCCATATGATGTGATGATAGCTTATTCTGACCAGTCGTAACTTGTTAAAAACATTTAAGATGGCAAGTAGCAATCATTCTATATTTGGTAAGAGATGCTTCATTCTTGTTATGTACAACAGGCCTGGGGAGAAGGAAACTGCTTATAATGAGATGGGATGAAAGTCCAGTGTTTCCATGACATGGCCTATGCTCAGACTTGCAGTTTTGGCTGTAGCCAGCCTCCCCATATGGGAAGTCAGCCAATTCACATAGACTAATTCACTGAGCAGTGGGTTCTGTTCTGTGGTTAACACGTACCATGGGGTTGGTCTGACCAGTCACTGCTCAGGATTTATTTATTTATTTTATTATTGCAGTTAAAAGAACCTGTAAAGAAGGAATACTGTCCAATAGAGATTGTTTTAGCTCTTCAGGGTCACAGACAGGAGGATTTTAATGTTAGAAGTTTATTTCCAACACATTGCATATATCTTAATTCCTACAGGCTAATGCTGGCAGTCCAAAATAAGGCCATGTCAGGGCTGCAGACTTCTCCAGGGGAGAAACTGAAGTTATGTTAGTTTGGAGTGCTCTTGCCCAGAACTGCTAGCCCAAACAGTCTGTATGTTTTGACTGAGACAATCTGCACCTACTGATCATTCTGTTTTTACTACTCTTTGTCTTTCATGGGGGGAGGAGGGGAGCTTCGAGGATGTTATCTTCAAAGAGTCTGTAGGTATCTATCAGCTTAAAATGGGCAGTATGGATGCTGCTGGAGATGTACCTTTATTGAACTGGTTGAGAAGAGTGGAGAAGTTTCACTGCTCTGCTGCTGCAAATATGGGTGCTAAGGTTGAGGTTAGGGACTAGGCTTAACATTAAGATCTGGCAGTGACTCAAGTGTCTTTGACCCAATTAAGTTTTTACTGAATTCTTTGAATCTTTGTCTTGTTGCTTTTCTTTTTTCATACCACAGCAAAGCCTGACATCAAGAAAGCAAAGTGATAAAGTTCCCTATCATATGAAGGCTGGAGCCTATTGTTTTGGCTAAGAACTGAAGTTCATGCCCTGACCCCTACCCTGGAGAATCAGATGCATAACAAAGACAGAAAAGAACATCTTAAGTATCTTATAAGTGTGCTCAAGATAAGAAGATCTTATAAGTGTGTTCCAGTATCTAATCTTCATTAGCAGAAAGGGCATGTGAGGAAACCAGTTTTAGCTGCATGTATCCTTCCCCAGTCAGAAATACTCAGTTTTATATGGCAGAGTCTAAAACAAATATTGAAATAAAATCTTTCTCGACTCCTTTTTTCCTTAACCATCTGCAGGCTTGCTACAGTTTTACCCATTAAATAGTAGAACTCCATCAGTGAATAAATGACTGTAATATTCTACACGTTCTGTAACTTTTTCATCTAAAGGTCTCCAAGCACTTTAGTCATTAATCCATTAAAGCTTTGAGCTAGGTAAGTAGAATAGCATCAGCAGAACGAATAGCCTGAGGTGCAGACATTAAGTGACTCCCTACAGCTGCACAGCAAGTCAGTGACAGAACTGGGGAGCTGGAAATAGAATTATTTTCTCTCTATATGTCCTTTTGTGTTGAGCTCCAGGCATGAGAGGGTGCTGTCTCCCAGACTGAGGGAATCCTCTGAACCCTTGCTGTGCGAGGACTTCATTTTTTTTTCTTTCCCCATTGGCAACAGTTGCTGGAAAATCCGTTGCTGGAAATCTGCTCTTCTCTTTGCCTATCGCAAAGAAATGGTTGGCTGTATCTCT